ATAAGCTGGTTCAGAACAGTAGAAATTTGTGCTTCAAGCTCATTGACTTCATTAATGAGTCGGGCAGCAGTTTCGGGTTGTTGGCTGCTTGGCAGCGTAACCCAGTCTGGCATAGTTATGTTTCATGCCTGAGCCACATAGCGACGAATCCTGACTTGAGCAGGTCGAATTGAACAGCGCAGAGAAATGCTCATTGTTGATAATGTCCTCGTGACACCATATACGGTAAATTTACAAAGCCGTAATAATAGCACAAGGCGAATAGGCATCACAATCGTTCACGATCGAATACACACTGGCGAAGATCGATTGATTGGCACTTTAATCCCCTGAAGGCTTAAAACCACCAAGCATATATACTACCTTCCGCTTTCGTATCTTCGTCTAAATAGCCTCTTAGTGTAAACTGCCTGGTCAAAGTCCATCTGCCGACGGGAGATACGTGCCGATCGCTGTTTACTAAATGTTTCCGCCGAGTCCCGATCGATGCCCTTTGGTCGCTTCACACGACACTCACAGTTTGGTTGCGAAATATGCTGTTATGAGAAAAATTAATCGGAATTTCTTTTAGGTCGAGTAAAAATTCGGAAATTTGGATGATGCTAAAGCTGAAACTGCAATGTGCAAGCAGTAGTGGACTATATCTAAGCAAAAGCCTTCAGTTTAGCCACAAAAGTAAAATTTAGGTTATTTATCGTTTTTCCACTACTTGTTTCGTACGAATGCATATTAGAAAAGTTTTAAGTGTAAAACTGGTAAATCCAAAGCGCTGACGTGATAATCAGTCGTATATTAGTATCTCCTGACTGTCTCTAAGTTACAGGACTCTGCCGTCTGTCGCTATAGTGCGTTGAACACCAAAAAAGCAGCGAACCTTATCCCTTTAAAAATTCCGGTCTTCTTGATGACGTCGGTCCAAATAAGCTTTGAACTTTTCTGCTTCTTCCTCAGCTTCTTTTTTTCTCGTTTGTAACCCAACCACCTAAAATGCGACTGTTTATCAAACAACAATTAACTATGCGGTTTAATAAGTTTGAGTGGCAATTTAGTTATAGGAATTAGGTAATTAGCGATTTACAAATATGTAAGCAATAAAAAACGCTTACTGTTGCCATGTTTCATTGTGTCTGCCGTCCAGGATCATCAAAAGCTTTCGTATCTGCTTTATCGTTTTATGTTCCACTTTCTCGTCATTCTCCTTTGATTTTAACCCTGTCTTTGGGTCGAGATTTTTATAGAAAACGCAGGTTTTATTAACTTACTTGTCTTTTTGAGCTGTATTTTTTGCGCCTAGAAAAGCTGCTTCATAATTTAAGCCTTTTTTTCTGTGTTTGTTTATAAACCTAAAAATGGTGATGAATCTATAGATTGTTTGAAACCATTTTTCAACTTCTCACCTTTTTCGCCTTCACTGTTTTTAGACTTTAGAGTGACTACTTTCACCTGAACCTTTGAGGATTCGTTGTTTGGCAGTTTGAACTTTTCAATCTCTTATTTGTAATTAATAGCGATTGACTATAAAATCATAAAACTGTCTCTTAATCTACCTTTATTAGACAACTGTCGCTCGTCTTTGGAAAAAACGTTAGATCTGTTGATATCGGAAGACAGCTGCTGAGTAGCGTTTTGAACGATAAAACTTTAAAAACGTCTCATGGAAGTATTTTTTAAAGTTAGTTCATCTTACTGTTTCAGAAAGATCAATCTGTTTCAGAAGGAAAAACTAAGATGAAAAAGTGTTCTATCTGAAAAGTGATAAAAAGTAAGACAGATAATGTTGTACGCAAAAAGAAAAAGATTTACAAACGATTTATAGACACTGCATATTAAAGTACAAATTGTTTTTACAAAAAGCGGCATAAGCAAACGTAAATTTACGAATTTAAAATAATTTACACTTTTACTGTCTTTGGTGCTGCCGTCTGGATGGCAGTGGCTGCTCATAAAAGTTTTAGATCATTCCGCATTCTATGTTTTCGGTCATGAACCTGAATAAAGTGATATACTGTTCCTTTGTAGCTTTAAACTAAGTGGAACAAAAATAGCTGTTTATAAACCTAAACAAATATAGAACAAAAATCATGTAAGGTTTTTCAACTGTCTCAAACAGTCGTTTCCAGAAAGAAAATGTGGAAAAAAAAAGCATAAAAGTTGGGGGTAGGAAAAGCAAACACCTTTTAAATTTAACTTTTGATGTTCTTTTCCTCGTAATCTTTGTAATATCTTTCCGTATGCTACTCAATCTGGATCAACAAAAAGCATCGCGCTTTCAACTTTTTTTTCTTGAAAAAAGCTTGCAGAAAAATCAGCGTCATTGCAAAGGTTCTTTTTAGTATTTTTATTGAACACGTGGAAGATTAGCTTTGACAACAGTAAAAATGGGAATTTATATACGGAAAAGACAAATTCTTAAAAACTTTTTTGTTGTCATAAGCAATTTTCTACATTTCTCTAAAACTAATTATCTGTGTACTTCTTGTCTTTTTTAAAATGTTTTATCTCAGTGGTGCCTCAGCAACGACAAAATACAAAGGATGATAACTACTGTTGCTTTTCAAGTGAAGGAGAAGTCTCAGCTTAAGAAGCGCTTATGCCATCATCAACAATTCCGTTCCAGGCAAGTATAGAATAGATGAAATCCTGATATTAAGAATGTAAAAAAAAAGTTTGTTTTTCACTGGTAACCGACAGCTGTTACGCATCAATATTTAGATAACTTTTGCTCACTTCTTCTTTTTGAAAACTTTACAACAATTATAAATCTGTTTTTTTATTTTGTGAAGTAGATTAGCTGTGTGAACACAAGAGCTGCATTCGAGAGGGTCGATAAAATCAAACTACTAAGCCTAAATGAAGCTGTTTTTTTACAACAGAAATTTATTCAAAAAGATTAGGGTTGCTGAAGTCAGTGGTTTGTGCCGTTAAAGAAGTGAAAATGCTCAGTATCGTATTACTCTTCTGCTTTAACTGCAGATTTTGTTATAAGCAGTCAAAATCAGGCAACCAATTTACCGCATACATGTTCGTTTCATCGGTTTCCCCGTAAATCAGTAACCCTTTCCTGTTGAAGCCTGACTATAAAACATACTTTTTTGTGATCCTAATAAGGCAAAGGGCTTCAAAATTGCGTAATTTCAAAGGCTATAATCATTATTGCTAAGATCTAGAAAATGTGTCAGTTTATTGGTATTTCCTTCTTCGTTTCACTTTCATACGACTTCTAAAAAGTTGGATTAAACGAATGAGCATAACTTCTATTAAACAATAAACAGTTGTTCGCTTTGACCGTTCGAAAGGCTCTTTTATGCGGGCATAAAATCAAAAGAGATTGCGAAAAGTTTGGCAAAATAGTCCAAAATAAATCTTAATTGAAACTGAACTTAAGAAGCCAGTTATCAAAGGCAAGTTGACTACAATAACAAGAAGCATTTGTCATAACCAGGCTGGAGAAATGGAAAGGTGGTCTAAATTTCTTGCCCAAAGACTATCGTAGAATCTGCATTTGCTAATGAAAATAATTACAACTGCTTCAGTAACATAAGCTACAAAGAAAATGTTCGATTTCTGCGTTATATTAAGTTAAAATTTTGTCTTTTCAAACTGGTCACCATTACCAAAAGATAATTTCGATAATTTCACTTTTCTTGTGTAGATAACAATTAACATTCTTCAAAGTAAAAACAGTTGTTTTTCACAATAACAAAGGTGTGTCATATAAAATTTCAAAGAATATTTTAGCAGCCTCAACCGTAGTATCTAAAATCTTATAAAATTTTTTCAGAAACTTCAGGACGTCGAAAAATTTGAAGATACGTTATAAGATTACCAGTTTAATTTGAATTCTTGACTTAATTGGAGAAATTAGAGCTGGTTGTTCAGTAACATGTTCTGACAACTTTTTCTTAGAAGTTCGAAAGAAACTATTTCAAGATATATTAGTGAATGAAGCAGACTCGCCACAATAAAATTTATAAAATTTTTTGGATTAAGTTATGTATTAGTTTGGTTAACAAAACAGTTTCAATCTAGTTCTAACCTATATTTTGACAGCCTAGCTGACGAAAGCCATCTTTGTTTTGCTTCGTTCTTTGGCATTATCTACCATTTAAATAAAAAATACGGTTGAATGCTTTTGTTTTGAAAAACGACAAAGTTTATTCATGTCAAAAAAAATTTTATTTTCCAAAGAATTTAAAAAAATAAAAATTTGAATTTTCTAATTGAGATTTTAAATTATAAAATATGAATTTATTCACTAGAGGATATCTTTCCGCAAACAAACAGAGAATTATCTTGAAGACCAGAAGTGTCTAAATAAAGTATACAGTAGTGTCAGACACAAAAAGGTCATCTTTATTTTCATTTGATAGAAAAAATAACATAGCCCCTTTGTTATAGATGCCCACGTAAACAAAAAACAGATTAGCAACAGGTCCAAATTCCCTTAAACAAGGGCTGTTTAGTTTTGAGAAAAAGTCAGTAATTTTAAGCGCTTTTTTGTACACTACCTGCAGCAAGAGTAAGACAGATTGTTTACATTCGAAAAAAATTGAAACTCTGAAAACGTT